GTTCACAAATATGTAATAATCAATCTCTAAAGACTTAAGGAGGTAAAAAAAAATCTAATTTATTGCCAAATATAGAGTTTGCATTGTTGTCAAGTCAAGTCTTAATTTTTTTATGCTTGTTGGTCTCTTCTTTATAATTTGTTATGATTATATTTATTGATAAGAGAAGTGACAAGCAGGAAAAATCAGATAAACGGAAAACGAGCAAAATGTTTACAATCTTTTTACTAACGGAATTATAAAATATTGGTAAAATATTTATAAGAACAGTCTTATTGTGAAGTGTCACTAATGAGTAAATGAATTAACTCTATAAGTTTAGAATTACTCCAGGCTACATTTCTAAAAATTAATTTGTTAAAAATAACTCAAATAAACTAAATAAATTATACCCCATCGAGGTTTATAAGTGTTGCGCTCGTACCACGTAGCTAAAGTGTTAACCATTAGCTTAGATTGAAATTTAATACATTGGTCGGGGCCCTGAGAAAGTTATTTTAAAGATAACTACTAGCAGCTCACAGGAGATACAACCTACTGTGTGTATTTAATTTAATGACGGTGCCTCCCCTTAGCAGGGAATTATGACTTTACATTTTGTTTAATCCACTAAGAATTTAATTTGCTTCGCACATAAAATAAAACAGAACAACAACTTTTCAAACATAAAACTCAACCCAAAATAAGCCGTTGCAGGCCTGAATCGATGCTTGGGTGCACGAGAGCTAATAACAAACAGCTCTTTCGCTCACTGAGCAAATAAAATAAAAAGTATGTGCATTGGTTTAGTTTTATTGTCACAGATCCTTCAGCATATGGGACTGGATAGGGAAAAGGTAGATGTGGAGATCCCTTTAATATGGCACGGAGTGATGTAAGTAGGCAGGTGATGTCACACGAACACCGAGGTCCTTCCCATCAGCAACCCACTGGTGGGAACCCGACGGCTGAATGGGGAACTTCTAACTCATCCAGCAGGTCCAAAGATTGGCTCCTGGTTCACTTTCATATGCTTCTTAAAGTCTGTTACAGTCGGCAACTCTGCATTAACCGTTGTAATGGACAGACTGACTCTGTTATTGTCCCACGTCTGCGTCGCTGTGCTCTCTGCACTGGTCTGCCCTTCACACTCACCCACGTTTCATGCAGCGTACCATTAATCCAGCTCACTCCCATCTGATTGGGCAAAATAAAATGCATAATCCAATACAAAACTGAACAAGACTTACACTTAGCACAACTCAAAGAGTAGATTGTGAAATTGCCACCTGGCATGTACCCCTTTAGCAAACTTTTATGTAACATTCAAGGAACGTAGTAAAAATGACAACTGCCTGTTTCAGTCTGCTTAAACTAGATTTTCTTGACCAAATATGAACAGTTTTTAAAATGATACATTTTTAAATTACAAATGGTTTTGATCTTTCATATTTATTCCACTTTTATCACTTAGACATTGTTTTTGAACCTCAAAATAATATTACTGTGAATTTAGTTCAGTACTTAGTTTGTACTATGGTTCAAACTGGGCTACATAAGTGAATCGTTTTCCCCTTAATTCATATATTTTTCTGATTTCAGAACATTAAACCGACCAGGCCTGTCAGTGTGTCACGTAGCAAGTGGGCCAAGAGGAAGTGCCACATGCACATATTACATTAACCTGCTTCATTTCCAACGATGCAGCACGGCCGGCGCCGTCACTGAGGGCTGTGAAGCAGTTAGGTCCTGTGAAGTGTTTGCATATCATTTGCCATGACAGCTTCCCTTCAACATCTGTGTAATGCAAAATAATTGTTTTTGCATAATCTGAGCAGAAATAAAGTTTCCCTCCAAACATGGGGATGCAGAGTGATGTCACAGTGGTGAGAGTTCCTCAAAGAAAGGATGAGCTGACTCTGACTTGAACCGCTGAAGGAACATGTTTTATTTAAATGCCTAAAACACTGACAGAATTTAACATGACAGCTTGTAAGATTCAGATATGATGCTGAATGTCTTATTAATTACACACTGCATGATATCAATACAATGAGACAAAAAGAAAATTGCTTTCAGCAAGAAATTCCCTTGTTTTAGTTCTTCATTTAAATATTTACAAGAAGTAAACTAGACAGTATTACATAGTATCTTCTATATAATATTGAAAATATTTTCTGAAAGTAACAATTCAAATGCACACCATAAACTAAGTACCGGTAATAGCATGTATCTGCTAGATTCTGATTAATCGTTAAAGTAGCTTATTAAAGAAAATGATAAATGTGACATAAAGCTCAATTCTAAAGGTCCCAAGCTGCAAGCGTTGGAATTTTTCAATTAAAATGTAGAACTGCAACACAGTTTAAAAACTGAACGTTTCTGCACCTGAAATGTCACGTCGTATTAAATTGTACAAAATAAATAAACTTGATTATAAGCAACAGTTTAAATTGCACGTTGCTGGCAGCTGGAAATGTATTGATAGCTGAACAATTCCTGCTGCTGCTGAAATAATGATACATTGCACAGCATGCTGTCCTCACAATGCAGCGATTCTCAAATTATGCAGTTCAACATTTGTTTATGATGTTACACTGGATTCCAAATTGAAACAACAACAAAAATCACTTAAATATTATATATTTTAGAGGTTGGAGGCCAACTGTATGTTCTGTTGGATATTTTGGATACATTGCAAAATATATATATATATATATCGGGTAA